AATGTTAATCAACACTGCCATACTAAAACTAAAATACACATGAAATATGGCAGTTTGGTGAAAATACTAGTTATGTATCCAGTTTCCATAACCATAACAGTATAATATTTTTATTACATGGAGTTGGGGTTGGTTCGTGTACAGAATGGAGTCACGCAACTTGGCCAATTTATACAATTTTATCGTCCTGGATTAAAAAGGAAATGCGTTATCGTCGCTGAAGTCATGCCCTTTACAATTCATCCCACTAACCCTGATTAACGATCCTGTAGATATAATACAGGTCTTGGTAGTATCATGAATGTTACCGAAATGCAGACTTTGACAGATAGCGCTTTTTATAGAGACAACATCGATCCGCCTGTGGTCTCACTAACCCAGTTAATAATGCAAAGCTCATATAAGGCATAGCTAAACGTTAGATCGGCGAAAGGTTGGCCTATACAGGGTGTTCTGAAAGTTGGAACTTCCCTTTACAGAAACAACTAGGTACGCTTGAAATAACAAAGCTATTGTGTGGTGAAATGGTGACGAAAAAGTATACAAAAGTAAGTAAAAAGTACTTAACGTTCATTTGCAGAGAAATGTCACGAACGGCTCTGTCACTGCTCGAAGAAAAAGCCTAGGTATTGTAAACCGTCCAGCATTTTGTGAAAATGACAGAACCAATGATCATACCACCCCAAACATTCAAACAAGATGTTTGTTGAAACCGACGGACTAGGTTATGATTTTCAAATAACCACACATTCACTTTGTTACCCGTGAAAGTTGATTCGTACGTGACTCATACGCATTCTTACAGGAAAATCCTTAGCTTGCACAAAGGGGTACAATCCAGCATCGCACACCATTTGTCACATTTATCCTGGAAGACTTGCACTTGTCAAGGCACTTCCCTAGTGATTGTTGAAGAATTTTTTCTACTAGATTCAATAATCCTTCCTCAGTTTGCATCGTTTGGGGATGTCTAGGTCTCCCACTGAGCCGACCTTGTTATTCCTGCACACGTCTGACACACACTCGCGAAGCCTCGGTAGCTTTTTGAAAACACTCATCATAAATTTACATCATGTCGACAAGTTCGAAATTGCTGTACGGGTGAGTGATTGGTAAATAAACGTTTTAATTTTCTTACGCTGCCGGCACCTGGATTGAGTACTGACGTGATTCGTTCCTTTTGTAGAGCCTAATACCTCGATTATCTTAAGACTTTGATATACAGGGTGTCCCGAAAAAAGTGTGCAAAATTCTACCAGCGGTTTCTAGAGCCTAAAATAGGAAGAAAAGTTTATATAAACATAGGTCGACAAGCGTCCCCTAAGGGCGCTACCGTCTTTTAAATGTGCTCGCCCTGAAGATGGTTTTTCATAATGTTTCCGAAACGTGTTCAGACAAAGACATAAAATTTGGTATTCTAGCCTAGTTTTTTATGCTGGATTTAAAAATATTAACAATTTTAGACAGTTTTGTTTGGAAGCGTATGTAACAGGGATGGACTCAGGTTATTTTAGCCCCAAGATTTTTGTGTGATTCTATTTTTGAAATTCAATTTTAGTATTTGAAAATTTAGGGTATTTCTACATAAAAAGGTACTCTTATTGAATATCGATAAATTGTGCCATTTTTGAATAAAATCCAACTAGAAAATTTGTCACATGATAGGAAATGTACTGCGAATTTAAATGAATTTTTGATTATCACTGCAAACAGGAGCTGTTTTGATTTGTTATGACTCATTTTGACGTTAAGCTGACATTGTTAGCAGTGTAAAATTTCTAGATTAAAATCAAAATTTTTATTAAATCGATTTAAAATGCCAAGATTTACAGACAGAGAACTGATTGACATGCATTTTGTGTACGGGTTTTGCCATGGCTGTTCATTGGCAGCCGTAAGAGAATATCAAAGAAGATTTCCCAATCGCATAGTACCTGGACGTCGAATGTTTACTGATATTCACCGGAATTTGTCAAACTATGGAAGTTTCCAGCGCATGCAGGCCTCAGGAAGGCTACTGGGAAATCATCGTATGGATATTGCTTTAAATATGTTTGAAAATAATCCGCAAATAAGCATACGAAATGTTTCAGAAATTATGGATATACCTCGATCAATAGTAAGAGAAATTTATGAATACCTATTTGATAGTTATCCTAAAAATAATAATTTCAGATAAGAAGAATGACAAGAATGCAATTACTACATAATTTTAAACGGGTGCAGCATTTAACGGAGGCAGATTTTTTACCACGACTCGAGTTTTTCCAGTGGATATTAGCAAACAAAAACACTATTCCTAGAATATTATGGTCGGATGAGTCAATATTTACTAGGAATGGTGCTTTTAATTTCCATAACCTGCATCACTGGTCAGACGAAAATCCAAAAGTTGTTCGCCGTGCAAATTTCCTAGATAGATTTTCATTGAACTTATGGGAAGGGTAATTGGGTCTATTGTACTTCCCAATCGTCTTAATTCAGAGGTGTATCTGAACTTTCTTCAGAATGAGCTCATGGATATAATACCATTGGATGTGCGCCAGCAGTTTCAACATGATGGCCGCTTGCACATTTTGGACGCAATGTTCGAAATTGGTTGAAGGTCAATTTTCCAGACAGATGGTTAGGCCGAGGAGGTCCTATACCGTAGCCGCCACGTTCACCAGACCTAAATCTATTGGATTTTTATTTTTGGGGGTCATTAAAAGACCTATTTTACTCGACTGAAGTAAATACTCAAGAAGATTTACTTCAAAGAATCCATGAATGAAATAAGAAGAAAAAGGTTTTCCACTTTTCGGGATACGCAATCATTAGTTCGTCGAGCGAGACTCTGTATCCAACAAAATGGGAATTTATTTGAACACTTATTGTAAAGCTTGTTTTAAGTATATCCAACTGTATGTTTTCTTTTTTAAACAAATTTCAATTTCGTTCGTAGAAAAAATTTATTTACCAAATTACCAGTTATTAAATTAGTTTTTTCGTGGCTATGGATAATTATTCAAGAATTCATTTGAATTCGGAGCACATTTCCCATCATGTGACAAATTCTTTAGTTTGATTGTATTCAAAAATGACACAATTTATCGATGTTCAATGAGAGCACCTTTTTTATGTAGAAAACTCTAAATTTTCAAATTCTAAAATTGAATTTCAAAAATAGAATCACACAAAAATTTTGGGGCTAAAATAACGTGAGTCCATCCCTGTTACATACGCTTCCAAACAAAACTGTCTAAAATTGTTAATATTTTTAAATCCAGCATAAAAAACTAGGCTAGAATACCAAATGTCTTTGTCTGAACACGTTTCGGAAATATTAAGGAAAAACCATGTTCAGGGGAGCCCCTTTAAAAGACCGTAGCGCCCTTAAGGGACGTTTGTCGACTTATGTTTATATAAACCTTTCTTCCTATTTTAAGCTCTAGAAACCGCTGGTAGAATATTGCACACTTTTTTCGGGACACCCTGTATATGCTACTAGGAAAACCGCTTATCCTGTATAAAGGCAAACCCAAGTAGTCAGTCAGTAATTAGAACTAGGTATCGACTAATACCCTACGCTTATTGGCATTGTCCGATGTGACTGCACATATATACAGGGTGACTTTGAAGTTGAGTCATTAATTTTCAGATAATGATTGTAGAAGGAAGATAAACCAAAATATGTGTGTAAAAATAAAAAAAAAATAAAAAAAATGTTTACCTTGTTTTATAAAGTATCCTCCCGACAAGTATTTCAGTGCGGACCTGTATTTGATCGTGAGGTCCCCTGTGAGGTCTGAAGTCACCTGATTCACGAGCCCGTTGTAGGGGAGAAGTGGCATGAAAGAGCCAGGTTTTGAAAGAGCCACTTGCATTATTTCGGTGGTTTAGGAACGAATTTGGTGGGTGATCTTATTTTAAGGTGGCAGCACTGATTTCCCGCCACCCACAAACATTTGACAGTTGGCTAGTGATAACAGGCGGCGGTACATCGAGTCAACATTTTTGGCATCCAAAAGTAAGTATTTTGCTCTATCTAAGTAGTTTTTTGGCATTTTATTGTAAACAAATATAAGTATGTGGATTGTAGATTCAGTTTGTGCATATAATTGGCCATGCAACTGCGTAAACACTAAGCGGCAAAAGGTTTTATATTGCTGTTATTTTGAAGGTTATATATTTTTTACCAATAAGTTATGAAAGAGCCGGGTGCATAGGCCTTAAAAGAGCTGGCTCTTTTATAACCGGCTCTTTTATAACCCTATATTTAAGTTTTAGTGATAAATTATTATAATAATAAACATGCATTTTTATATATTATTAAATTATTTGCTTCAGATACTGCATTATGGAGAAGGCTGGCTCAAAAAAACGAAAAGGACCCGAAAAATCGGTAATTGAAGAAGCAGTCAGTGAAGTTTTGGAGAAAGGTCAGTCCATAAACAGAACTGCACTTGCCTTAAACATATCGAGGGCTTACTTAGCTAAAATCGTTAAAAAAGTAAAGACGTCTGGCGGTTCATCATATGAACACTGTCCTAATATAGGGAACAGGCGTATTTTCACAACAGAACAGGAGAATATGCTTGCAGATTATTTAAAGACCGCATCTAAAATGTGCCATGGCCTAAGAAGACATCAAGCAAAGAAGCTAGGATTTGATTATGCCGTAACCAATGATATCTGTCCACCCAAATGGAAAGAAGTTGAAACTGCGACTGATGATTGGCTCAAAGGGTTTATGAGCAGACACAGAGACTTAACTGTGAGAAAACCTGAAAGCACTTTTCTATCCCGTGCAACAAGTGTTAATAAAGCTAATGTAAGCACAGTTTTTGAGAAATTAAACACTGTTTTACAAAGATACAAATTTCCTCCTCATAGGATTTTTAACGCCGATGAAACAGGCTGCAGCACCGTCACCAATCCTAGGTCATAGCTGAAAGGGGTTCAAAACAAATTGGGCAAGTTACCTCAGCCGAACGAGGAACATTGGTGACAACTCTGTTCTTTATTAATATTATGTTAAATAATGGTCCGCCAGGAGCACTAGGATTGGCTCAAGTTTCTGGATGGATGACTGAAGACTGTTTTGTGAAAGCGCTTGAACACTTTGTAATACATGTCAGGCCATCAAAAGAGAATCCAGCATTGATATTAATGGATAATCACACCGCTCATGTAAATCTCAGAGTGGTTGAATTTGCCAGACAAAACTCCATCATAATAGTTACATTCCCACCACACTGCAGTCATAAACTGCAACCACTAGATATCACAGCATATGGGCCTTTCAAAACTAAGTACCGCACTGCCATGAATGAATGGATGTTGACGAACCCTGGAAAAACAGTTACTATTTATCAAATTGGGCAATTTGTAAAAGAAGCATATTTGTCAGCTTTCAGTCCACCGAATATAACACAAGGATTTTTGAAAACATGAATTTATCCATTAAATTCTAATATATTTAGTGAAGAAGCATTTTTATCTTCATATGTGACTGATAGACTTGATCCGCAGTCAAACGATAGTTTGAACTTGTATAAGGAAAGTATGGAAAGAAACGAAACAACACCTCCATCTTCTACAAAATCGCTTGAAGCTGGCGAAGAAAATGAGCTTCTAATAGATCAGAATATCAGACTCTCTCACCGTTCAACCTCCACCCCCACGGCTGCAAATCCGAGTCAACGAATTATATCACCGGAGATGATAAGACCATTTTCTAAAGCGGGGCCAAGACAAAACACGAAACGAAATAATAGAAAAATGTCATCTGCTATCGTAACCGACTCTCCCGAAAGGAAAAAAATAGAGGAGAAATAGTATAGTGCAAAGAAACCAAAAGTTACTGTTAAGAAAATGACTACAAAAGACTCCATAAAAACGCTTAAAACAAAATCAGAAATAAATAAAGAAAATTCCATTCTGCAAGATGACTCTGATTCGTCTGACTCTATCGTATTGGCTGAATCAAAAACAAAGGGTGTTCGAAGCAAAATAAACCCAAAGACAAATAACAATAGTGATGATTGTGTAGTTTGCAGCAAAATATATAAAGAGAGTGATCAAGATTGGTTTCAGTGCAAAATTTGTTCTGGTTGGGCTCATGAATGCTCTTGTATTAAGGGGAACCTTAATTTCTTTTGCAAGACATGTTTCTAATTTGAAGAATACGCATTATATTCTGTTCTGATAGATTTAACGATCTTGTTTTTGATAAAAGATATTATTTGTTGTTTTATTTAATTTCAACATTGTTATTGATAAAAAATAATCCGCCTCTAATATGTTAAGTTTATATTTATTATAAAATATCATTAGTTTTTAAAAAGAATTTGTTAGAATTGTCTTTTCATTTGTTTTTTAATAGTGTATACTTATTAGTTTGTATAATTTTCACAATTTCAAGTTATAATACAAGCTGGCCCTTTCATTACTTTTAGTGGCTCTTTCAATACCGAAGTGTTATGAAAGATCCAAATGACACATTTTTTAAAAACGTATATTTCATTGGTTTTATATACCGTATTTTAGATTTTTTTGTATGAAATATATACTTTATTAAATACATAATAGTTTGACTAAGAAAATAATCATTTCATTCATTAAAAGTATATTTTTTGGCTACGTCTATAAAACTGACTCTTTCATGCCACTACTCCCCTACTACTATTAACAAAGGCACGAGGGGTTGGTTGCACTCGATTGGGAAACCGATCCGCATAAACATGTGCCATTTTTTATTTCGTTTGAGCCACGCAACAGACACTATTCACACGCGACTGACAATGATTGTATGTATAACTGAACTGAATAAAGTAAACATCGTTCCAAATTCTTTCGCTTTTTTGTTTCCGATGCGATGAACCGATAAGGTGGATTATATCCGTTGTTGCCAAACACGAGCACATGATGATATTGAGACAGGGCGGTACTCAAACTTCCAAAGGGCTATAACTTTGTTACTTTAATTTTACCAGAAAAATGGTAAAGGAAAAAAACATTTCTTTTGATCAGATCTACTCACTGTTAAAATAAATGACTCAACTTCGAAGTCACCCTGTATATGTGATATGGGCCGACCAATACAAATTAGTAAGTTAAGAAGGGTTACAATTATTGAATCGAGAGGAAAAACAATACATAAACATATACTCTCAATAATCCTATCAATCTGACCTCTTCTCCTTTCTTTGCTTACGATTCGAATTGCATTAATGACTTTGTAAGTTCTATGATTGGAAGAGATGGTCAGCGGAGCTCGCTCCCATTCTTTCGCGTCTCTTCCTGATACCTTACCGATTCGACCAAAAAAGTGTAAAATAAAGGATCTAAGATCGACCCTTACTAACACCTACTAACAGGCCTATAGCTTTCTTTTATGTTACAAGTCAGGTGTTGGAGAGGCGCATAAATCGTGAGCTTCTGGAGTACTTTCCGGCATTAATGATCAACAGGGGCCGCAAATGTGGAGTAAATTCATCCAATTCTATAGTGAGGCATTTGTCGCTGCTGTTGATATCGCGATAGCATTCGAGCAGCTGAGGAATGCTGCCGTCTTTTGGAAACTTCCATCCTACAGGCTCCCTGAGAAGCGTTACATCTAGGTGACTGACTTTTTCTCTGGTCGAAAGATCGGTCGTGACTGATGTTCTCCTCTTCGTCTCTTCAGGTGCTACCCTTGGCTCCGGCAGCGCTCTACATGCATGAATTTAGAGTGACAAGCCCAATCTCTGCAGGTGAGCTGAAGAAAACAAGACTACCAGCGACTTCCTCTTTGGCGAGAGAGTTGTCACTTCTGGGGAATTCAACAATCTGGTACAGATTAATGCTGCCAAAAATTGGATTGTGGAACAATCTACCTGAAGAGGCTCTTCCCAGTTCTACTAACCTTGGGCAGTTCAAAAATCGGATTAACAAAGCTCGTCATATAAGCTGCAGTGCCCTGGTATTTAGGTTTACTGCTTAAGCGGCTACTTCTTGTTCAAATCTTTCCACACAGCGACATTTCTCGGGGGTTACAACATTGTCCTAGAGAATTGAACTTAAACTTTAACAATTTCTTTTTGTTCATCTCAGACAGACAGACCAAAAATTCAAAAAATACTCATATCTCAGTTTCGAAATTCTCCTAGCCAATTAGCATTTAAGGTAAAACGCAATCTCCTCTACTATTTGGTGTTAAAATCCTTGTTGACCAAACTGCACGTATAGGCATTATGGTTGAAATTTTGATATGACTAATAGGGATATTTTCTGTTGTTTCAGCTGACAGTAGTTTTCTATTGGCGAACGCACAAATCGTGGACTATCCGATCGTGTATTGCAACGAGTCCTTCTGCAAGATATCCGGCTACAACAGGGCCGAAGTCATGCAGAAGTCCTGTAGATGTGCCTTTATGTATGGGGAGCTGACCGACAAGGAGACAATCAGTAGAATAGACCACGTGCTGGAGAACCAGCTACACGACCAGTTCGAAATATTGCTCTACAAAAAGAATAGTGAGTATTCCTTTATTGTTATGCTCGTAAACTGAGAATAATATGTTTCGAATAATAACTACACAATGAATAATACGACTCGGCCCATTGTACCTCTATTAAAAATGCGTGTTTTGAGTTCTGAATTTACATGCCAAAAAATATTTAATTTTTTCTTACAATTTTTGTGATATTAGATCCATGACAGGGCTGTAGCATTTTTTGCTATTTTAATGAATCCGTTTGGCCCAACATCTCGAAGAGAATCAATCCTATGTAAACATGTAATAGAGACAATTTTATATTGGCTTAATTTCATTATTTTATGTAATAAAGTGTTCTACAAAAAAGCTTCTTAGTGTTTTTCCGACATCTTGATGATTCTTCAAGTATAAGGAGCAAAAGTAAACAAGTCGAATCAAAACAGTCTCGCGGTATACTTTGCACTCTCCGTACACGATATCCACGTGTCAGCATAAAACATATCTTACAACAAGGAAATGGCATTCCTTAAAGTGCATCCATTTTCCATATCGTTACATGCACGTATACCCTCTGGTTTCTTGTAATCTGTTGACTGTACGGCAACTTTTTATAGAAGCAAAATGGTAAAGAATTCAATTCTCTGAAAAATTGTTTGTACTACTTTTTTGTATCGAAATGACGTCGAATTGAACTTCCTTCATTATATAAAATATCCCAATTGCTTTGCTTAGTAGGTTTTTGAAAAAAAAAGCGTTTCGTGCAATGTTGTTCATAGTCAACAATTGTTTTTCAAGACACTAGTAGAAATAATGACAAAGCCACCTAATTTGCAAAATAGTCAAAGATTCCAGGGCTACTAGGCATAACTTATTTTCTAAAAGACAAAATGCTCGCTATCAAGTAGCGTTTATATGCACTTTGAAGGCCGGCCGATACCAGGTGGGAAAGCTGAGTAGATATGAGACTAACTTATATTCTGATGGCTGATTTTGTATATACGAGGGTGAATCAAATTTGAACCGGACTTTTCTGTTTAATGCGTCATAGGTGAGAAGACACAGACAGCTGCATTGACCCAAGATGAATTACGCGAAATTATTTGGGTCTGACACGACTAGGTTCATTCTTTGATGGGGGAATTGAAAAACTTCCAATCCGATGGCAAAGATGCATTCATAAGAGAAGAGATTATCTATAAAAAATGAGATGTGAATGAACTTATATTTACTTTAGCAATAAAATTACTAAAAAAAAAAGATTCACACTTGGTTCACCCTCACACTTTGCAAAACGTTATTACTAAGTACTACTAAACACTTCCCACTTGCCGAAACTTCTGCTTTTTATACATGTAATGTATTTTTTGTATAGTGCCCTATAACTGAAAGCTTGTGATCTGGACTGTTATCCAAGCAAGTTAGAGGGACGACCTGCTTTACTGCGACTTGCGGAAGTTACTGAAGGCCGTAGGCGACTGGCAGTGCTGGATATTAATTAATGACAATGTACCAGCCATCAGAATTTTAGTAGAGCTACTATTTTTATTTACCTTTCTCACCTTGTACCGGTAAATTGGCAGTCTACTTAACTCAAAATTATTATTATTATTTTATTCTAAATTATACATGTAACAAGGTTTTAACAGACTGTCTTCATTATACAGGGTGGCCCAACAAAGATGGCGCACCTCCATTTGTGACTCTATATTTTATATTTCAATACAACATAATAATTATTATTTCAAACTAATTTTCCTACATTACATGAAGCATCTGCATATTTGAAGCTTCCGTACTCCTATCCATCAAAATGCAGTTTTCATGTCAACTTTCAGTTTTTTATATCAATCGGTGCTTTTCAATGGACCGAGGCGCGTTGTTTATTCTGTAATTAGCTCTTCACTTTCCATTGCTTCTAAAATCTAAATTCGCTGGTTTCATCACCGCAGCCTTCCTACTTATAACAACTTCTAGATACATAACTAACCCGAGTTAACTTTATATAATCCAATTATAATTAAGGAAATTAGCACTGAAAACTCACTCATATTTCACTTGTAATTGTATGTAATGTGATGCAATTATGTTGTTGTGAGAGGGGTTAAAGCAAAAAATGGCCATTTAGAATCTAGCAGAAGCCTTACACTGAACTAGCTAGGGAACGTGTAGATGGCACCACTAATAAGGTAACCGAATTTTCCAAGCACGGCAGTTGGCTGTCAGTTTAGTAATGTCGTTAAAGATAAAGTATGTTATCGGAAGTTTACAGCATTACTTGGAAACGGTGTTTTATGTTAGTAGCAATAGGCAGCGGAGCTTTTGGTACTTGCAACGATTGTAGATTACGAAGTCTACGAC